AGAAAGCAAAACTATACCATTATCTTTACACAATGTTATTAATTGAATAGATAAATGAGATTGATGATTGTCTAAAAGTAATAACACAGGGCTTTCTTTTGATGGCTTTACATGTCGAATAAAGTGGTTTATGTAAGTAATAAAGCACTCCTCATTCATCCAGCCTGATCCATTCGAAGCACCAATGCAGCCATTTGGCCCATCACGAATAAAGTGATCAAAGAATTTCTTTCTTGGAAAAAGAAACATTGGAGGCACACTATTGCCATATGCATTTACGGCTATTACCATTGTCACTAATGTCCCTCGCTCTTGAGAAGTTAATGCACCCACTTGCTTAATGCCTTTACGAGCAATTATTTTGTTTGGTTTTTGCACAGTGGTGATACCAGTCTCATCAACATTAAAGATATTTGATGCAGAAAAATGATGCCTATCTAAAACATCTGATAATTTTTGAAAAAAAACACCTACATTAGCACGATTAAAGCTAGTTGCTCGTGCAAGACTTGTTGCTTCTGGAGTTCTGATAGACAATCTTGGATGTCGGTTTAAAAACCCTCTCATCCAATCAGGACCAGCCATGGAATGTTTTAACCACGATTTGGGAAAAATAATACCATACTTTACTGCACATTCAAATGCAAGCTTTCTTGTTTCATATGGTGATAATCCAAAATAGATATCAGAACATATTGATATATATGAAGCAATAGCTATTTCTTGTTCATAAGTAAAAACTTGATTCTTTTTATATCCAGGATAAGGTAGTGGCATTCCCATATCAACAGCTTTTTTAACTTTTTTTATATAACGAGAAAGAGTCGAGTAGTGGATTCCAAACTTTTTTGCTGATGCACGAACTGATGTTACTCTTCCATCAATAACGTGGCTTGCTGCCTCTATTACTACTTCTTTTGGATAAAGTCCTTTTTCAGTTTTTCTCTTGTAAGTTCGCATTTACAATTTTTATTAAACCTCTAAATAACATAACAATAAAAAAACACATTACAAAAATCATTTTATATAATTTAGTCTAAATTGCTACATTTATTTATATACCTATTAATGTTTTAAGTATGTACTTAATAATAATAATATTTTAATAATGTAATTATAACTTTTACGTATGTATGTATATAAATGTATATATATAAATGTATATATATATATATATATATATATATATATATATATATATATATATATATATATATATATATATATATATACATTGTATATATATATATATATATATATATATATATATATACTGTATATATATATATATACACACTGTATATATATATACACACTGTATATATATATATATACACACTGTATATATATATATATATATATATATATATATATATATATGTATATATATATATATGTATGATATATATATATATATATATATATATATATATATATATATATATATATATATATATATATATATATATATATATATATATATATGTCTTTGAATATAAAAGATAAGTTTATATTCTATGTTTATATTTATATTCGAGGATTATATAATCCTCGAATATAAATATAAACATAGAATATAAACTTATCTTTTATATTATTAGACATATATACATATGCTTTATAAATATAACATACATATGTACGTTACATAGTCTTATCTTTAAAATTATAATTTTTTTTCAAAAACTTCTTTGCTGTCTTGTTATTAAAAAAAAGTCGATTATTTAGAAAAGTGCGTAAAATTAATAAAGTCCGCAGTTCTTTTGTGATTCAACTTACCCCGAGCAATTTGATGCAACTTACCCCGTAGGCATCATGATCACTCTAATCAATGCATACAATTAGCCATATTAAAAAAATCTATTTTTTTTTACTTTTTGTGTTTGAAAAAGATTTTTTTAACTTACTATTATTTTATTATTGTCATATACTTCTTAGTTTTTTGTAAAACCCAAAAAAACATTGAAACGAAAATTAGAAATTTATATAGAAAAAAAACAATTATCAATAACTTTTAAATTTTTAAGTTTATTACTATAAGTTTTTTATAACTTGCGTGTCATAATTATAGTTATATAATGTAAAAAAATTGAAAAATAATATGTAAAAATTATTCTTTAAAACGCATTGTTGCATCTTACCCCTGTTGCAACCAACCCCGGTCTCCCCTAAACGTTGCAAAAAGTAGTATATTTTTTATTATGGTTGAATGTTTAGTTTTTTTATAAGGGTAAATTACTATCATAAATTACATAAAAAATTTTAATCTGTAATTATAAACATAATGCTCACTTTACAAATAAACATAATTTACACACAATTTTTGAATTGATTAAAACATTAATGAGTTGCTTCAATGCCCAATATAACTTACACTAAATTGTCCCATTCAATTACACTAGTGTTATCTTTTGAATTTAGAAATAGAAGTTATTAAATGTTGGTGGCTCATCATGCAGTGCATTTGAGAAGGGCATGCTTTCAAAGTAAGTATAATTTTACTATAAATAGAGCATTTTTAATACCGCAGTTATATTGCATACTTGATATACATAAATATATATGCTGGTCACAACAATCCAGTCAAAAATTTCTTTAAAAAAATAAATTTAGTGTTGAAAAATTTGTATTTTTTGATGTTTGATGTTATGTTTGTAAAATAATAATTATAGTGTGCGTGTGTGTGTGTGTGTGTGTGTGTGTGTGTGTGTGTGTGTGTGTGTGTGTGTGTGTGTGTGTGTGTGTGTGTTATTTATTTCTTTCCCCTTTATTTTTACATACTTATCTTGACAATATTTTTTTAAGGTTAAGACTGCTCCCCTGATTCCTACAGCAAAAAAAAAATTTTTAAATGCTGGTGATGATATTTTAAAGAGTGCACCTGATCGAAAAGAAGGTGAATGACGTCAACTGTTCGAACATTCGATTCTTGGAAATTAACAAGTGGAAGAAGAAGTTTATAAAATTGTAATTTATAAAACTCAGCATAATTATGTTATTAAAAAATTTAAACAATTTATTATTTTTTTCTTATTCTCAAGAAGTTCTGTGAAAACATATATTTAAACCTTACGTTTAAGTAAAGCCATGTAAAAACACGTATTTTAGACGTCGAAATAAGAAGGTCTAGATTAGGTTATTTAAAGACGTCATTTGGCGTTTCCATTTAGCACTTGTTCTGAACGTCCTAAATTCACGTATTTTAGACGTCTAAAAACACGTCTTTATTCCGTCCAAAAAGACGTCCTAATTACTTCTTAAAAAGACGTCATCTGGCGTTGCCACTTAGAACCAGTTCCGGACGTCCTAAAAAGTATGTATATATATATATATATATATATATATATATATATATATATATATATATATATATATATATATATATATATATATATATGTATATATATATAGTGACAAGATGATTGCATATTTTGGCAATTAAAGTACTGTAAGGTACATATCTGTTTCATTAGAAAAAAAAATCCTATTTTATTCTAGTGAACAAATAATATAAACACGCTATTTTGTATAAAATTCAATTCAACAGAGAAGATTAGTGATATATTATCTAAAGTATGCGCCAAGATCTTCACAACGAATCAAAACTTTAGTTATAAGTTTTAAAAGCATAACATCTAAAATGCATTGCACAATAAAAAGATATCTTAAAGAATAATTAGTTAATTAGTACCTCTTGTAAGTCCATTAAAAATATAACATTTCAGTAAGAAGCCCATTTAACAATATAACATATAAAACATATATATTTTGACAATACAATAAATTATGTTAAAATACTCTTATAAAATTCAATATTTACAGTAGGCATATACTGTTGCGTTAGTTCGCTAACGCAGCAGCCAGTATGCTTCTTTACTTTGTATATTTAACTGAACGCGTATTATTGAAATGAGAGTTCTGAATATATACAAGTTAAGTGTATTTATTATTTTATGTTTTGTATATATGTGGATAAGTAACTTATCCCTAGTTGTCCTCAAAGATCTTTTCTTTTTTAAACCACTCAGTAAATATATTTTGAGAAATAATAACTTTTTAAATGAACCTTTTTATCGAACAAATTTTAATCAATTTTGTATCTTATAAATTTGTATCTTGTAAATTAGCTATCTTTGGAATAAAATTACTTTGTCGAATTTTAATTTTGAAGTACCTATTACTTTTAGCTTTTTTGAAAAAAAAAACTGAAAAACCTCATTCTTTCATCAGATGATATATTGAGTTATTATTATTAGTAAAAGTTAAAAATATATTTTGATCTACTTTTTTTATTGTTTATATACATGTTTACGTTTATAGAAGTTTATTTCTACTAATTTTATTTATTGTTCTTATACTTTTTACTATTTAATTTATATGTTGGTTTACTCTAGTATAAAATTCTAATGAGAAGATCCTCTTGATCTTTCTTCAGACATATTATTTACCTTGCAATTTTGTAAAAGTTTATTATTATTATTTTTTGGCCTTATCTTTGTTAAATGCTTATCTAAGGTTCTGACGACAAGATTTTTGCGATCTTCTTTCAGATACCTTGTTTATATTTGTTACATTTTCTATCATTGTAAAGTTATATTATTATTTTTATAATTGGTTATTTAAAGCTATACAACGAATTACAAATGTAAACCAAAAATTGATTCACTTTGTCCCAGTACTAGGGCACAGTGAATTACTTAACACATCTCACTTTAAACCATTATGTGAGGCGTTAGATAAATATTTTGGTTTTAGTGATTTCTTATCATGAAGGAAATATATCCCAATACTTTCGCCTTTAAAAAAAAAATACATTTTAACTTTTGCTCAAATTAAAAAAATAAAGAAATCCGATCCACTGTGCCCCAAAATCCCCTACTTAGAGTTTATTTTGATCAAGCCACACCTAACATTACTTTTATATGCGCTTATACTGCATGATATTGTTTACGAACGTACATGAATGATATTGTGTTAAGAGTAGTAAACAAAACTAATAATTAAATAAAACGTAATTAACTAATAACTGCCAGTGGTAAATAAATTATCAAAAGTTTTTAACAAGAAATTAATCAAGCTATTCGAATAAAAAAAAAATACATGTTATATTGTAATCTTGTTATAAACATATAAACCAATAAAATTAAGACATACTACAAAGAAAAACATTTACAAAATAAATACTACAATACAAAAAGAGACATAATAAAAAACAATATTTTTTTTCTTAAATAGTTTTGTTATGGTCAGTTGCAGCTCCAATTCTTGCGATCATCTGAACCACTACGATACCATTGGGATATAGTCCTTTATAGTAAAAGATTCAAAATAAAATAACTGAAGTCGTGAAAATCATTAAACTTTAAACGGGCCCAATAAAAGTTAAATTTATCTAATAAACAATACCTTCTTGTTCCAAATTTATCTCATGAGAATTCTCCAACACTTTATGAGGATAAGGGATTACAACTTCAAAATCATGCACACATAATTTAGATTTGGTACTCACATACCTATATAAAAATAAGTTCTTGGTACAATTATATAGAAAGCCAAAAAAATGTAAAAAGTTCATTATAATTTTTTTATTCTAACAGGAGTATACTCACTCGTAGAGAGTATTTAGAGATGTAAACCTGTTTGTTTCCCAATCGAGGACCTATAGTCACAGAAAAAGAATAACAATTTTTTTAAGATGCCGAGGCATCCTAATAAAAAAAAACACAACAAAATAAACAACATAAAAAACAAAAACATTTGTAAAGTTACTATTGTATTAGGAAGTTTTATTCGAAGCATTATGCTATCAGTTGAACCACTTTTTGATGTATGAATTTGTTCTGCATTCTGTTGCTTAGCTTCATCAAAATGACGCAACCTCTTTTCTTCCTCGTACTGTAAACATTGTGAAATATTTACAGTACATTTTCATATTATAAAACAATTTGAAAGCTTTAAATAACGAAAAAAAAAAAGGCTAGAGTTTATGAACTATAATATAAATAACTTATAGCTTATAAAAAATTCAACCATTTTTTTTGTTGTTAAATTTTAAAGATTTTAAATGATATCAACTATTATGATTCTTTACTTCATAAAAATTTTTATGATTACTTATACACATTAAATATAATCGAATATTGTTTTATAATTATTAAGATCTTTAATATAAAATTAAATTTTCTTCTTTTCTATAATGATTTTCTACTTGCATGCCTTTATTGATACATTCGGTAGTACAGATCAAGCCAATGTGGGGATTCTAAGTTTAGAACCATAAAAATTATGTAACTCTTTTAAACTTAACACTAATATGTTGACTTCTTTTTTCTAGTAACAAATGTTTTTTTTAAAGAAATCATATAATTGCATTTGATCGCTGCGATTATTAGACATAGATCTTGAATTGAAATTCAATCTTGAATTTGACAGTTATTTTATGTTCATGGTTTTTAAATAAACCAGTTATAGCAAATGTCCAATTTTACACGTTATTATAAGAAAACCATGTCAGTTCTTCCATTTGCTAATGTCTAAATCCTCATTTGCTTTCTAGTTCATCTCATTTGTTATATGTTCACATTAACTTTATTTTATGGTTTTCCTTTTCAAATCTTTTTTCAGTGTCGAATATATTTTGCTTTGAAAAATAAAAAGTTAAGGCAATAGAGATTTAAAAATCATAAAAAAAAAAAAAATTCATTTAAAAAAGAATTCATTGGCTTAAACACTGTTGCAGAAGTTGGTCCAAGATTTTTATCATTAGATTAATGTACACTCTATGTTTATGCTATTAGAACTGAACCATATTAAACACTCAACTCATAAAACTTTAAAAAGTTAACTCTCTATATATGTCACTGAGTTTTTTATATTGACTAAATATAGACCATGCTGTCATTTATTTATCAATCAAAATACTTTTGTTAAAAATGATTTCTAATGTAATTAAATTCTTCAAATCAGTAACTTTGCTCTCTAATCAAAGCAGAAAAATTGTGTAAAAAAGACGCAACTTATCTCATACTAAATAATAATCCTATAAATTTTCCATTTCTTCAAAAATTATGCCTGTCATCAAACTCCTAGTAGGTTTTTATTTTAATGCCCTATTGCTGACAATTTCAGCATTTTTATTGGTTAACATATTTGAAAACTCTTGATTTTCAGATGTTTTAAATGATAAATTTTTTCTGTTTTTATATACATATTTTCTTCCTTTTTGATATTAGTTAATTTTGTTTATAGCAACATCCACCAATTGTTCTTACTAGACTTATAGAACTAACAGATGCTGAAGAACTTGTTCCAACTTGATGATGGTTTATCAGCAGTTTTTTCACAATCGATCATTTTACTTTCCTTTATCATGCATTATCGTTTTTTAATGATTAGGCTATCGTTGATAATTAGTAATTTACGGAACAACTAATGCAACCGAATGTTATTCAAAAATTTTTAATAAATATTTCTGTAAAATATCTCTTCACATTTAGTAAAAACATAAACAAACAAAATGGCAGCTACATCGTTAAGCAATAATATTTGTTTAATTCATTTTGATGATATACTGAATAAATGCATTAAAAAATGCATTTATTCAAAGCATAAGTCAAATAGACTTTTGTTACAGGCAGGAATTGGTTAAGGTTCTCTAAAAAGAATGGAAAGGTTAGCAATAAATGAAATAGAGATAATTTTTACACATAGTGATAGCACATACTGCTTCAGTAATTTGATTTGTACGGGTTTGTCTGAACTTCGTAGCGACCACAAAGAAGCTCGATACTTGTTATTGTTACATTGTAAGCATGCTTCGGTTACATTGTAAGAATGCTTCAGTTTACTTGAAAGCCTCGAAACAGATGTGTTCTTAAGTGCATTATACCATAGTTTATTTATTTCTACAACTCTTCACTTTAAAACAGGATGCAGAATCAAACAACGCATCCTTAATGTAAATAAAATTGCAAAAGAGATTAGTTACAATTGGTGTGATGCAATGATTGGATTCCATTCTTTTACAGATAGATTCAAATTAAATTATATAAGTGAAAGCATTATCTTTCTTGCAAAAATTTATATCATGCACTAATTTGCTACTTTATCAAAAAAAATATATTAAATCATATGTGCTGTTTATCTTAACTAATTTTGTATCTGAAAACGTAAATGTTTGAAGTGTTTCTACTTATTACTTAGGTTGTGATGCAGTGTCTGCTTTTCAAGGAAAAGGTAAATTATATGCCCTAAAAACGGCAGAAAAGAAAAAAGAATATTGTACAGCATTCCGAGGTATCGGAACGTCACTAAATGCATCACATGAGGTTGTTAGTGGCATACATAATTTGTTTGTCACCTTTATGGTGCAAGTAAAGAATATTGTGTCAATAAAGCACAATTTAACTTGTTCAAAATGGGCGAATCTACTGAAGAGATGCTCCCTCCCAATTATGATTCGCTTATTTTACACATTAAGCGTGCCAAATATGATGCTTACATTTGAAAAAATGTATTGAAAGGTATATTAAATCTTCCTTTGCCTAATGGCTCTGGTTGGTCTATAAGTGGAGACCAGGTAAACTTGGTTTGGACAACAATTCCACCTGCACCCAATTCAAAAAGTTCAAACTTGCAAACTAAATGAACTAAAAGGTCCACATTTGCCAATTAGTAATTTTTTTAAAATTCTAGTTATAAATTATTAAATAACATTAAGTAAAATATATTTTAAGCAAAGTTAAAAAATTAAAACTTATTTAAATATTAAAAAACAAAAAAAAGGTTTCAACAGAGACAAAATAAAAATAAAACTTTAATAAAAAAAAATATCCCAGTGGGTTTCGTTATGGATTGGCCAAGGATTTTTAAAAAAACCTGATATATATATATATATATATATACATATATATATATATATATATATATATATATATATATATATATATATATATATATATATATTATATATATATATATATATATATATATATATATTGTTAACTTATATATATAAATATATTTTTAACTTTGCAGGTTAAATAGTTTAAATCCTTAGTGTTTAAAAAATTTTATATTAACTGAAAATCCTGCTCAAAAAAACATGCGATATAACAAACGGTTTCAAAAAGAAAGCTTAAAAACATTTGTTTTGTTTTTTTGTAAAAAAAAAGATGGTTTATAAGTATAAAATAATTTTGCAGTTGCCGAATGCCAGAAAATAAAAAAAAATAGTCATTTCTAATGAAAAAGAATTACTAGCTATTTCTTCATTAACTAAACAGGATGTCACAATGCAATAAGATCTTTCTTGCCAACAAAACTACTGTTATTAGTTTTGTTGGCAAGAACTGCTGCCATTTTGATTTATAACATTATTTTATTAATTTAAAATTAAAAAAAAAATTACATTTTAAGCTTTTTTTAAATATTTAGCAAAATCTAAAAGTTAAGATCTCACTAAGATAAACAGAATAAACAAGATAAACAGAAGTTAAAAGCAGTAAATTAAAACAAAAAGCAGCAGGTACTACAAAAAGCATTGAATAAAAGTTGATCAAAGCCTAACCACATCAGAAACCTCAGGATGAAAGTGTTAACCTATGAATTTAAAAATTATTTTAAATGAAAAAAAGTGATAACGTTTGAAATCATAATTTCCTATGATTCTGTTGTTTTTATTTAAATTTATTTTGAAAATAATAAGTATATTAAAATTTTGAAAGCAAAAACTGAGTTGGATTTGATACTCTGAAGTTAGGTTATATCAGTTAACTATTCTTCTATATTTAAGCATGTTTACTTTGTACTTCTGAGTGCCTATTTTAAATTCTGCTTCCAAACAGGCATTCTAAATTATTCTATTGCTAATTTTTTTTGACATAATCAACTTAACATAATTACCAAAAATAAATTTATAATAATAATAGGATAACTTATGATGTGATTAATTACTATTATTGCAAACTTAAAACATGACTTTAAAACTTACTTTTATCCT